ACCACAATCATCACCATGTAGACCCATCATCATCATCATCATCATCATCATCATCAACATCATCATCATCGTCGTCGTCATATTTGTCATTATCATCATCATCATCGCCGCCATCATCGTAATCGTCATCATCGTCATCACCATTTCTTCTTGACTGAGTAATAGGCAAGCTTCATTAAATGTTCCATGTATGTGCGAGATTCATTCCATCTCCACAATGCTATTACAATCGTCCTCATCATCATCATCAACCACCATCAACATCTTCGTCATCATCAACAACAACATCATCATCAACAATATCATCATCATCGTCGTCGTCTTACGGATATTAGGCACGGTTCATTCAGTGTTCTTTGTATGAAGATCCTTTCATCGCCATCATCATCACTATCAGCACCGCCATCACCATCATTATCAGCACCGCCATCACTATCATAACTATCGCTATTATTACTAGCACGTCCGCCATAGCGTTTGCAGAATTTCTCATTGAAATCTTCACCATCGTCATCATCACCATCGCTGTACTTACTGTAATTATTGTTATTATCATTTTTATTATTATTACTATTATTATTATTATTATTATTATTATTATTATTTTTCTTATTGCATTTGTAGAGGATGGCTTTTGTAGTTCTGTCCTTCAAAACTTCCAAAGTCAGCTTGTAGTAGCTGGGGACTGGACTCCTGATGATGATGATGATGATGATGATGATGATGATGGTTGTGATGATGATGATGGTTGTGATGATGATGATGATTGTAATGATAATGATGACAGTTGTAGTGATGATGATGATGATGATGATGATGATGATGATGATGATGATGATGATGATGATGATGATGATGAGAAGGAGGAGGATGATAATAATGATGACGATTTTGAAAAGTAAAGAAAAAACTAAATAAGAACAAGCTACGCTAGTAGAGAAGATACCATGATTGTAACAATGATACTAAAAAGGATGGCAGCGATAATATCAGGTGTATCTTGGATACAGGCTATCTCGCTGACCTGCACATGTTGTCGATGATATTCTTCATGTGAGGAACTTCGTGTGAGTAACTCGGATCTCTAAAGAGGTACTCATTATCATCATATGAGTGCGGTACTTCAGTGTATGTAGGCTCTAGGTTTGCACTGTGAAACCCTGATGACCATGACAATGTTTAAAATGATGATGGTGATGATGGTGGTGATGGTGATGATGATGATGATGGTGATGATGTTTGTGATGATGACGGCAATGATGTTTGTGACGATGATGATGATGGTTTGTAACAATAAAAACAATAAGAGAGCGAAAATGATGACGATCAAAAATAATAAAAGTGAGGTTTGTGATGATGGTAATGATGTAAAGATGATTGTCGCTGCTTTTTGCCCCAGAAATGGGCAAACTTTTCACTGAGGGCCGCATTTTACCTTTGAAGGGCCACACATGTACTTAAATAGCAAATTTTTTCGACTCCGGGGAGAATTTTTTAAAGGTTTGTGGCTTCTTTTTTTGGTCATAATGTCTGGTTAGCGACATTCGCAGGCCTTAGTTTCTCTCCCCCCTGTTTTACTCCATCAATTAAATCCTGCCAATTCAACCAGCTAACCAACCAATCATAAACACGCACACACACCACACACACACGCAAACACGCACACACACACACGCACACACGCACACACACAAATACACTTTACTCATTCACACTCTCTCTCTCTCTCTCTCTCTCTCTCTCTCTCTCTCTCTCTTTCTCACATGCAAATAAAACCTATTAATAATAATTCAAATGACGTTCCATCAATCAGTTGCTCACCCAAGCAATATATATATATATACATACACACATCTTCAGAACACACTCACACCTACACGCACATTCACACACACACATACACACACACATACACACGCAAAAATTACCTAACCGATATTAATTCTAATGCCAGATTCTCGACTCCAAAAAAAATCACTGGCCTGCTTACTGTCAGATACGTAATAAATTGTATCCATGTTTTTAACTGTCAACAAATTTTCGATAAAAATATGCTTTTTAGGTTGATGAACGTTGTGGCTGTTGTGGCTGTAGTGGCTGTGGTTGTAGTTGTTGTGGTTGTTGCTGTTGTGGTTGTAGTTGTTGTGGTTGTAGTTGTTGTGGTTGTTGCTGTTGTTTAGTCGATTAAGTTTGTTGAGTCTTCTTGGAGTGTTGTGGTAAATTAAGTTTTGAAATGTGTGCGCATAATGTTGTTGTTGTTGATGTTGTTGATGTTGTTGTTGTTGTTGTAGTGTGTTGTAATCCATATTAGCGTTCATGATGGTGTTGTTTCTCACAAGTAGTAAACTGTGGACAACATCATTACCAGGAGGACCGCCAACTGGACTGCCATAAACATCGTTTATTATTATTCTCACTCCTGTATTAATGTATGTAAATTTGTATGTTTGTGTATGTGTGTGTGTGTGCTTGTCTGTGTATGTGTGTGTTGTCTGTGTATGTGTGTCGGTGTGTTGTCTGTGTATATGTGTGTGTTTATGCATGTTTGTGTGTGTATGTGTTTAGCTGTTTATTTCATGTTCGTTTGTACGTGTGTGCTTAATAATAGGTTATTTAACACACACACACAAAAACAGAGACAATTGATTGATTGATCAACTTACTTCGTTTTCTTGCCGGAAGTGTAACGGATGGATTGAGAACTGAAAAATGAATGAAAACATTTTTTTATCATCATCATCATCATCATCATCAACTTTACTATTGCTATTATTTATTCCTTAATATTTCTTATTAATATTATTGTCATTGCAAATATATACATGTCCAAACAATTAATACATTATGTTAATGCGGTCCCCAGACTAATGAATAAATTATGTTAATTTATTTAATTAAGAAACAAGTTAAGCAACTAACTTAATAGAATGCGGGTTCATGAATATTAAACTACAGCTGATGAATATTAATGAGATGACGTATGTATAATAAATAGCTCTAACCTTTGTCAATATCTGTGATGTTTCTGGCATTCAAATAAGGTAGCAACACATCTGTTAACATTGGTTATGTTTGTTTTGCATGTATGTGCGTGTGTACGTGTGTGCGTGCGTGCTTGTGTGTGTGTCCATGCGTGTTGTGTTTAAAACTGTCGTTCTTTATATGTGATTATATGTTTGTATGTGTTTGTAAGGAAGTTTTTTGAAAATTATTCAATTACTTTTTAACATTCTACATGCTAATGACCCAAAAAAATAAATTTCTTGAATCTACATTTATCGATAATTTTTTAATTATTAATTTGTTAACATCAAGATGATAAAACAAAAACAGTTAAATAAGATAAATCAAAATAAATCAAAATAACAAACCACAACCCACAACAACATCAGCAACAACATCAGCAACAAAAACAACAAAAAACTTCAACAACAACAAAAATATTCACTTGTTCTTCCATATCTTAAGTCACCAACTGTCTCCACCATCATCATAATCTGCACCACCACCACCATCGTCATCATTCTCATCATCATCGTTGTTCTCTTCATCTTCATCATCGTCACCGATGACGTAATCATCATCGTCTTCGGCCATGTTGTCCCTGCTGTTGTTGTTTTCATTAGTCGGCCGTTTCGCGCCATTTCACAAAAGGACGCCATGACAGTTTTCTGCCGGAAGTCATGTGTCAACTCGTGGTCATTATTTTCTGCAGAGAAGAGTAGTTGTGGCGATAATGATGATGTCACCTCATTACGACGTCACAATGATGATGGTGAGGATGATGGTAATGCGGATGATGAGGATGACGACGACAATAACAATGGTGACGATGATGATGATGATTTTATTTTTAACGATGACGTTACTAATGATAATGATGATTAAATTGATCATGATGATGAAGATGATGATAACGTTGATGTTGAGAATAGCACGTTGTCGTGTTTTTGTTCAATTCAATTAAAATATTCGGTGAAATTTTTTTAAAAAAAACAAGCTAGTTAAACAAACAAACAAATAAGCAAACAAACAAACAAACGAACAAACAAACAAATAAGCAAACAAACAAACAAACAAACGAACGAACGAACGAACTACTTAGCAAACGTCAAAAGTACACAAACGCACGCACACACTGGCACGCACACACACACGCACAGACACACACATTCATACGTATTGAAGATCAGTCCATGAAATTTTAATGTTAAAAGTCCAAGTCGTGTTCTGCAACAAGGCTTATTGTTTAGTGCCTGTATCCATCCAGTATGCCATGATGTTGCGGTATTATTAAGCGAGCACGTGTGTATTTATGTATGTACGTGTGTGTGTGTTTGTGTGTGTGTATGTGTGTGTGTTTATGTGTGAGTGTGAATGTGTGTATGAACCCATAATTGATTAAAACTATAGGGAAGTAATAATCATATCCGGGTTCAGCTTTAATCTATGTTAAACGCTTCGCATAGACAGAATGTGTGTATGTATGTGTAAGTTGTGATGTTTGTATTCGTGTATGTATTTGTATCAGAGATAAATTGTTCATGTTCATATATGCATGCGTTTATATATTTTTGTTTTATAACATTTTAGTAAGTAAATGTAAGTGTGTGTGTGTGTGTGCGTGCGTGTGTGTGAGTGTGTGTGTATCGATGAAATAAAATGTTAATATACACACACATATGTATGAATGCATGTGTTTGTACTTTATATAGGTTTTTTCAGGCATTTATCCTACAGCTGCATATTAGATAAATATGTTTGCCTTGCTCGCTTTCACTAATGTTTTTCAACTTTTAAGAACAAATCGGTTTCTTAGCATTAAGCGTTCTTGTTTCTATTTCAATTTTGTTAATTCATCTGATGCGGTCCTCAAGTTAATCATTGTTAAATTTAATTTAAACGAAGAAGCTATCGAAGATGTTAATCCGGTGCAATGTATGTCTATATCAACCAGGACTGAATATCTCAAGTGGGAGATGAATTGACAGAAACAAAACTTACTGAACTGCTAGCTTGTGGTGAAAATCAGTGTTTGTGTTTGTGGGGAAACGTGCAACTTGTAGTTGTGTACGTGCATTTTGTAGTTGTGTGCGTGCATTTTGTAGTTGTGTACGTGCATTTTGTAGTTGTGTGCGTGCATTTTGTAGTTGTGTACGTGCATTTTGTAGTTGTGTACGTGCATCTTGTAGTTGTGTGCGTGCATTTTGTAGTTGTGTACGTGCATCTTGTAGTTGTGTGCGTGCATTTTGTAGTTGTGTGCGTGCATCGTGTGGAGTGAACGCCAGCCATAATTTTACTTTCATCGATACATGTTTCTTGCCGAGTCTCATGTGCACGAATCAAGTGGGGGTGTGTACTGGAATGAACGAAATTTTCAGAATTCGTTTGTTTGCTTGGCTGGATGGTGGAGATGACGTCTTAAAAAATGATTTCGTCTACAACATTTTTTCAATTTCATTTGATGTTTTTTCATTCCGAATGATTTATATTTGCAATTAACAATTTTTTGTTTAGGCATTTGTACATCTTCGTCAACAGATATGACATCGGATGAAACGTCCTGTAAATTTTGTTGCAACCAACACACACACATACATTAAACACAAACACACAAACACACACACATATATACACACACACATATATACACACACACACACACCTGCTTCAAATGCAAGCTCGGCCAAACTCACGAGCTATGCGCCTTTATGGCATTTGTGACATTGATAAACTTACTAAAAACTTTCGATCAAAAAAGAAATGTCAATGTTAAAAACATTTTATATAAAATTATATTACATTTTATAGATAATCGTTTGTACATTTATATATTGTATATATATATATATATATATATATATTTATTTTTATTTTTATTTATTTATTGGAAGAAGCACAAAAAAGTAAACATAATACTTGTGATAGTGCCTTAACTAAAGTTGTCCTTTCAACCAAGTTCAACAAAAATTCAACAAAGTTAATTGAAAATGAAGAAATTAAAAATGATGGTAATTCGTGCACGCGAACATACGTCACAAAAATTTATACATTTGCATTTCAAAAGTAAATAATGTTCGCCTCCCATAATATTGACAATTAAATAAATAAGGATTGGATCGAATTGACAAATTCACAGTAGAGGTTCATTACAGAAACAAATTCAAATATCAATTTTGGCATATTTTAAAAAGTTTATCGTTAGAGGATCATTACCTAGGCAAATGCGAGAATCATGATGTTATTAACTCATTATGAAAAATTTATCGTAGAAAGTCTATTACAAAACAAATTCTATTTTTATAAAATGTTTATCGTAAAAGAACTATCACACACATTCATTTTCATTTTGAAAGTTTACCGTAAAAAGTTTACCGTTCGAAGCATATTCATGCTCCCTCAAGTACGTTAGATCCATAATTCACTCATGCACGCACACTCATGTCCACACATTCATATAGATTCATACACATTCATAACAATCCATACACATTCATGCCTATTAATACACATTCATACCCTTTCATACACATTCATAACATATTCGTGCTCCATATCAAAGTGGCCGTCTTTCTTGTTATTGATACTATAATTATTGTTATAAAAAATAAGTATTTTTATTAATTAAATAATTTTTGAGCTTATTTTTAAATAAGTGGATCAAAGTAATTTCTTTTATTTCCAGCGGAATTAGCTCGTCCCAGACTCTAGGTCCTGTTATTTTTAAACTTGAATTCACTAATTTAATTCTCTGCGGTACAAAATAAAATGTATGCGCGCTTCTCAAGACTTTTGTTTTGACATTTGACGCTAGGGTAAAGAAATCTAGAAAAAATTTTGGTAACTTTTGTTGTAAGTATTTAAACACGAAGATTACCAGAAAGTAAAGATGCAAATTTTTAACACTAAGAATGTTTGCCTCCGTATAATAACCAGTTATGTGGAAACGGGGATGAAGGCCAAGCAGCAATCGAATAAATCGATTTTGTGTTACGACAATTGGATTAAGGTGTGAATCAGGACTATTGCCCCAAAGAAGATTACAATAGACCAAATAAGGATGAATTAACGCATAATAAAGATTTACTAATATATTTTTATTAATTTTATGTTTAATTTTATCTAGCATACCTATGATTCTATATGATTTTTGTGATATTGAATTAATGTGCAAATCCCATGACAGGTTATCTCTGATTACTATACCTAAAAATTTTGTTTCAGTGGAACGAGATATTATTTTGTCATTTATTGATATTGTCAAGTCATTGATGCCATTTGTAATTATTTTCGGACCGAATATTAAATAAGTACATTTTGAATAATTTATTATTAATTTATTTAATAAAAACCAGTTTGCTATATATTTTAAGTTATTATTAATTATTATCTGATCTTCTTGAGGATTTTTGGTATGAAAAAAGATAGTGGTATCGTCAGCAAAAAGTAAGAATTTAGCTGTAGTAGGAACCAGACAGAGGTCGTTAATAAACACCGAAAAAAGCAATGGTCCCAGTATTGATCCCTGCGGAACACCGGAGTTTATAATTAACTTCTCCGAATTGTGTCCATTTATCGAGAAATATTGTTTTCTATTTTTTAGGTAAGTGGAAAACCAATTAAGAGCTACTCCTCTGATTCCATATACTCGCAGTTTCTGTAAAAGTAATTCATGGTTTATAAGGTCAAAGGCTTTTGACAGGTCTATAAAGATTCCGACAGTTAAGAATTTTTCGTTTAGATTATACATCACCCTTTGTGCAAACTCCAACACAGCAAGCTCTGTTGAATGGTTTGGTCGAAAGCCGTATTGCCTATCTGTAATGATGTTGTTAGCACTTAAGAACGAGTTTAATCTAGAGTGCATTAGTCTTTCTAGAATTTTTGAGAGTGGGGAGAGGAGAGAAATGGGTCGATGATTAAATACTTCCAGTCTGTCACTTTTTTAAATATTGGTAGAATTTTCGCAGTTTTAAAGCACTGAGGAAAGATTCCTTGTGACAGTGAAAGATTGCATATGTGGGTTAATGGGACAATTATATTATTTATTATTTGCTTAACTAAATAATTACTTAGTTCATCATCGGATGTGCTTTTTTGTTTTTCATACTCCCAACTAATCCTATTATTTCTAATTCGTTAGTTAATTCAAGATAAAAAGATTTGCATATTGGCTTAATTAAATTAATACTATTCTGATTCTGTGCGTTATCATTTGTATTATCTAATAATGATTTAGTGATATTGACAAAATAGTTATTAAAAGTGTTACATATTTCAGTTATATTTTCGATTATTATATCATTAGTTACTATTTTATTGATAATTTGTTTGTCTGGTTTTTTATTTAGCATGTTATTTATTGCATTCCATTTACTTTTCGCGTCGTTTTTATATTCGAGAAATTTATTATTGAAATATTGATTTTCTAAATGTCTTTTATGATTAGTGAATTTATTTCTAAATTTTTTATACGTATTATAATTTTCTGAAGTAGGGTTAACTATGTAATTTTTAAACAACTTATTTTGCAGACGTGACATACATAACACTTCCTTATTAACCCATGACTTTTTATTTCTGCGTTTACAAGATCGCAAAGGAGCAAATGTATTTAAGACAGTATTTATTATTTTGTACAGAAGTAAACAGGCTATTTCAATATCGTTTTCGCTTGTGATAGGAGTCCAGTTAACAGTAGCTAGATAGGCGTTAATCTTGTTAATGTTGCTGATTGTTAAACAACGTTGGAATGGAGGGATAAATTTATCTGTCGATAAACTAGAGCAGTGTGAAATCGAGAAAATTGGATAACGGTCGGACAAATCAGATATAATTATGCCACTATTATACGTTTCAGAGGAATTTGTAAAAATATTATCTATTAAAGAACTAGAATTTGCGGTTACTCTTGTTGGTGAAAAAATTAATGGAACGAAGCCGTATGACAACAACAAATTCTGAAATGACATTGCGTGTGTCGAGTCTAAGTTTAGGATATCGACATTGAAATCTCCAACAAAATACGTTCGATGATTCTGCCTTAAAGCGTTAAGTGTAATTTCTAATTTATCAAAAAAGTGATCAAATTTTGTATTAGGTGGCCTATATAAGGCAACCACTTTGATATATTCACAATTATTATCACATTGTTTAGACTTTATATTAATGCACAGCATGTCAATAACATCATCATCAAACACTCTATCATCACACACACAAAAATCTAAGTCAGTTCTTATAAACATGCAAACTCCCCCACCTAAGCCAGTCATTCTATTTTTAAAAACAAATTTAAAACCTTCTAATCTAATCAATGCTGCAGAAGCTTCATTCAGCCAGGTTTCACTGATAACTGTTAAACTAGGAATGTTATTAAATCCGTCTATAAGCATTTGAAGGGACGTGATTTTATGGCATAAGCTACGAGCATTTACATGCACGATTGATAAAGCTGATGAAGATAGACTATAATCAGATAGTGATAACAAATCTGATATATTATTTTCAAAGTAGTACTTCGTTTCGTTATGCATTGATTTGCATATAAAATTATTTGGCGCCACCATGATTCTCGATTTTGGATTTATAAGAATTTTCATATAAATAAATTTACCTGTACAAACATGTATGTTTGTTTATACTCTTAAGTTTAAAATTTAATGACGTCATCCATTTGAAACTTTAACTGCCAAAAATATAGTCGAGATAAAGAGAGGGAGATGGATTGATGGAAAAGAAGAATGATGAAAAACTAAATAGGATAAAAAACAAAGGCATGCAAGAAAAATAAAAGAACAAAAAATAGAAAGAAAAAAATAAAAGAAGTAAATAAGTGAGAGTAAGAGAGAGTGTGAAGGAAAGAGAAAGAGAGAGAGAAAGAGAGAGAGAGAGAGAGAGAGAGAGAGAGAAAGAGAGAGAGAGAGAGAAAAAGAAAGAGAGAGAGAGAAAAAAAAAGAGAGAGAGAAAATAGAAACAAAGAGGGAATATAGAAAGAGAGAGAGAGAGAGGAGAGAGAGAGAGAGAGGAAGAAGAACGATAAAAAGATGAAGCACTTTTTAAAACGAAAAAAAAGAAGAAAATAGGTAAACACGAAAAACGTTACGTTACATGTTTGAAAAACATTCGTACACTTATTGCATTACGGGCCAACTTGTCAGAAACGCTTATCAGGGACGTACATTTTTCGGACACAATGCAAAAAATAAGGAAGAAGTCAACAACCTACTCTATCCAACTACATTTGTACGCATTGGAGGTATTTTTAGGTATTTATGTGTATTCATAGACGTATTAATAACTGACC